GAACCTATAACTGTAAAGGTCTCTTCCTGTATTCCCTCAATCCTAAACCCTAAACACTCTAAACCCTTAACCCTAAACCCTAAACCCTAAAGCCTAAACCCTAAACCCTAAACCCAAACTCTAAACCCACATCTGGGGCCGTTGGCCCAGGGAGTTCTTTCCTGCGGACGTCTACCGGAACCTTGCGAAGCCACACAGGGCTTAGGGTTTAGGGTTTAGGGTTTAGGGTTTAGGATTTAGGGTTTAGGGTTCAGGGTTTAGGGTTTAGGGTTCAGGGTATTGATACACTTCTAGGGGATCCGAAGTGTGGGCCCCTACTTAGGGTTTAGGGTTTAGGGTTTAGGACCCTTATATACACTATAACTGATAAGGGCCCATGGTTCCAACCTTCGACCATTGGGGCTTGCATGGGGTTCGGGGTTTTTAGGGCTTGAGGGTTTAGGGTTTAGGGCTTGACGGGTTGAGGGTTCGAGCACTTGAGAGGGCTGTAGGGTTTAGAGGTTTAGGGGTTTAGGGCTCCCGGCTTTAGGGTTTCATTAGGGCTTTAGGCCTTCAGGTTCAGAGGGTTCAGGGTTCGTTTAGGGTTTAGGTCATAAGAACCGCTTTATATGGTTGGGGCATTTTTCCCCCTAACTAAGAGGGGAGTTGTATAGTTCCGTGGCATTCAGACTATTGAGATCCGCATACGAAGGACAGTTTTAGGTGGGTAGAGTTTGGGGTTTAGGGTTCAGGTTTAGGGCGAAGCCCGAATTCCCTGAAACTTCCTGGTAACGCCGCCCCACAAACTCCAAAAACGCTGAACTCCCTGAACTCCCCCCCTGGTGCCCCTTGACCGCTGAGAGTGGCGCCGCTGCCACGGGAGACCTTGAAGTGTAACCAATGGCCGGGGAGCCCAACGGGTTCAGGCTTTCGGGTTTGGGCCCGAAATCCCATAGTTCGGGAATGCAAAATACAGGCTTAATTTAAAAAAGATGCGTGTCATGGTCTAATTTAAAAAAGATGCGTGTCATGGTCTAAGTATATTTCTCAATTCAAGGCACATACCCTAGATTTCTGAGGCTGTGCCAGATTACACTAAGGGTAGGCTGGTTGCTCACTGTCAAAAGGGAGCCCGCAACTCAACAAAAAGCAAAGGGCACCACCCTGAATTTGGAATGGCTTTGCCTTGAGTGTAGACTGGCTCCGGTTTGGTGCGCTGCGGGTTGCGATTGGGTAGTTTTGGGGTGGGCAGGTCTTCACACGACTGTGTTCAGCTGACCAATGCAACACCCTAAACCCTTAACCCTAAACCCTAAACCCCTCTGTGGAAGGAGTCCCCCCCCCCCCCCATGAAAGGGAAACTCCTGAAAGGGGCCCAGCTACTTCCGCAACACACAAGAAGAGTAGGTTGGACTGGTAACTCCTTGGGCTGGGCAGAGGGATCAGGGGTTTTGGGCTTAGGGTGTAGGGTGAGAGCTGTACACAAGGAGCGCCGGGAGCTTGGGCCTTTCTTCCGCTCAGCCCCCCACGACTGCAACATAGGGGCTGAAACAAGTTCTACCATTCTACCAATATACTTTCCTGGTGACCCAAGGACCCTAACACACACACACACACACACACAGACAGAGAAAAGTGCCCTGAAGGGCCCCAAAGCCCTAAACCCTAAAGAGCCCTACTGTAGGGGCCGTAATGATTAGAACAGGGTTCTGGGGGGTCATTATAGTATATCTATAAAGAGACCACAAAGGAATCTTATTCGTAATTATGCCGACCCCTATAGTATCTTCAAGGCTGCGACGCGGTGGACGTGGACTCACTGGCCTCGGCGCCATGGACAGTCCACAGGTTAGGCTGGGGTTTAGGGGGGAGGGTGGGGGGTGGAGGTCTCGTTTAGGGTTTCGGGTTTAGGGTTTAGGGTTTCGGGTTTAGGGTTTAGGGTTTAGGGTTTTGGGTTTAGGGTTTAGGGTTTAGGGTGTATAGAAGGGAAGCTCGCTGGTGCTAAAAGCACCCGGGCCGCTCGCTTGCGTTAGCATGTAATCCCACCCCAACCACCCAAACTACTCTCATTTAGGGCTTAGGGTTCACCCCCCCAAACCCCCCTCAAGGGGGGCCTTCTTGCTCTTTATTTCTTTCCAGAGCAGGGGCTGACGCCCTCTCTCAAGCCTGCTTAATGGCTCGGCTTTCGCGGAGTAAAATGGAGGGGCTCCCACAAAACCGTCGATTTCAATACTAAACAACCCGCATGTTCATTGCGGGCCTCGGCCGGCCCCTGCTCCCAGCCATGAGGGGCAGCAAGGCCCGTAGTTCAAAAGGGAGTGGCATTTAGGAGGGTCAGCAGGGGGGTTCAGGAGGTCCCAAAAGGTGCCCCAGCCAATTGTTCTTTTAGGGGGTTCTTGTTCCCAGATCCCACCAGGGGGTTCCAAGGTCCCAGAGGGCCAGAATTTTTCACGCGGTAAATTCGTGCAGGCGCCTGGACCAGCCCAGAATCCCTGAAATCTGGAAGTCTGGGGGGTCCCCCCCAGACCCCCAAGAAAGACCAAAATGACATCTCTGCTGCGGGTTTTTGGGTCTTATATTAGGGGTGACGCCCCAGTGTCCGAGACGTAGCAAGGCACTGCAGGCCCCGTCTGCCGGGAGGCTTTACCCTCCCTCACCGTTCTGTGAAGACGCTCGGTCGGGAACCTCGGTCGAAGCCTCGAGGTCCCATGCAAATGGACAGCGGCGCTCTCGGAAGTTTAGGGTTTAGGTTTTGGGGTTTAGGGTTTAGGGTTCAGGGAGGAGGCGAGGGTCGGCGCAGGTGGCCAAGGAGGGGGGGCCACTATGCTGGTCTCAGAGCCTCTGCCAACCTGTGGCTGCCCCTACACCCTAAACCCCAAACCCTAAACGCTAAACTACCCTAAATGGCAGGGCTCTGGTCGTTGATGAATAACGATCAGAAAGGTAAAAAATCGCGGGTTCCAGATTGGGTTTAGGATCAGACTGGTATATGCATCCCGTCCCCGCAAGAACCCAGGATCAATCCCTCCCCAGTTGCGCGATACTGTACTTTGGGGCAGGGAAAGGCTTGGGGGGTGGGGCAGAGAGTGGGAATCACGGGGGGGTACAGCAGTGAGGGTCACACTGTGACAACGCCTACAAAGCCCAGGCAACATGAGCTCGGATCGAATAACTGGCATCATTTTGCAGGCATGAATATGGGTGCGTGTGAAAGCTGTACACGAAGCACGGTCGTTAAAACGAGATCGATGTTTGGCCAGGATTGTAAAGGGTGTGTTACACTGCTTCCCCCTCCGGCCTGGCATGGGGGGGGCCAGTGGTTGGGTAAGCTTCCAGTGTCTGCGTAACCCTGACAGGCTTACGGCAGCGATTCCTTCAAGCCTTACCATAAAAGATGCAACCTGAACACACGTCGCAAAATCCAAAACCCAGCGGTAGCTTGATTCTATCGCCTTTGCTTTCTGACAATGATTCGGGCAAAAGAGGAGGTCCTATAGTCATGTCGACCGTGCGGGCAGGTCGAATGTTTTGTGCCGCCCTCAGATCTGTGGGATTGCATATCGATCGCTGCATCAAGCGGACACTGGAAGATGAGTCAGCATCTGGACTAGGGACGGCTGATGCTATCTACATGTACAAACACTTCTAAGCGGGCCTTTGGCCGCAGGATGCCCCCAAGACATTGCTAGCACGAAGCTGTGCTTTGCCTGAGCGCTGGGATGCTGGCAAACAGGCCGAAAAACGACAGCCGCGAACAGCGGCCTGAGTTGCAGAACTGCCTGCACAAGAGCCAACTTGAAGGTTCATGGAACTTACTAACCACTTATAACCCCTCTTATAATACCCCTAAAGGGCCTTATAGGGGTTATCCCTATTATAAGTAGGGTTATAAGCACAGTTATAAATGGTTATTAAGTCCCATGAACCTCCAAGAATGTGCCGCACCTGTAAGCTTGAAAGAGGTCCCGCTTCGCGTGGACTGGAACCGAGCGAAGGTATTTCAACAGCCCTTTGCAGCTGCGAAACTCTTCCAAAGAAACCAGATCTGAACGACAGACGCTGCGCATCAGGGTAAGTGGTGGATCGAAGCCTCCTACGTCAGCTTTTCTCTAGAAACTGCTCGCGTGAGCACCCCAGAAGAGCTCTACTCAAAACTCCGGACCCATACGTCCAGTAAGAAACATTCAACCTCAGAGTCCAAACTCTAGTTACATTTAAACTTTGAGCTTGGGATGTTGCCCCTTATACTAGCAGTCCTTAATGGTGATTATTGATTATAGTATGGAGTTTAGGGTTTAGGGTTCTGGGTTCAGGGTTAAGGTATAGCAGCGCTGTTGTACTCCCTACTCAGGACTGGTAGTAGAAAGGGGGAACATCCCAACTTTGAGCCCTACACCCCAACCCCTATACCAAACCAGCGATACACCAAGCGCAAGGTTTGGAATCCCCCCCCCCCCCACTCGGGCGCCCTTTGACACATAGCAAGTAGGGTTCAGTAGGGTCTGGTGTTCAGTGTACCCTAACCCTAAACCCTAAACCCTAAACCCTACACCCTACACCCTAAACCCTAAACCCTAAACCCTAAACCGTTAGTGTTTAGGGTTTAGGGTTTAGGGTTTAGGGTGTAGGGTTACGGCAGTAGCTCTTCAAGGTGATACGAGACTCAACCATGGAGCCCGTCGCACAAAAAGCAAGGAGACCTTGAATCCTAACACCCCAACTCTGGGTTTAGGGTTTAGGGTTTAGGGTTTAGGGTTTAGGGTTTAGGGTTTAGGGTTTAGGGTTTAGGATTTAGGGTTTAGGGTTTAGGGTTTAGGGTCTCGATAGTGCCAAGTATGGGCCCTTAAGTTGAGTCCCTTGTTGTATAACCCTTTTATACACTATGCGTACTAAGGGCCCATACTTCTCATGCCTCTAAGAAAGCTTAAACCGAAATCATAAACCCCAAGCCCTACCTAAACCCTAAAGAAACCCGAAACCCTAGCCCTAAACCCTAAACCCTAAACCCTAAACCCTAAATTCTAGCCCCGAAGCACAGCTTCAGCACGCTGGCTTCTCGGAGTCTGGGCCAAAGCTTTCTTCAAGGCCTGCCGCTGTTCTCAAGAGCGTCTTTAACTGGGTTTAGGGTTTAGGGTTTAGGGTTTGGGGTTTGGGGTTTAGGGTTTAGGGTTTGGGGTTTAGGGTTTAGGGTTTCGGGTTTAGGGTTTAGGGTTTGGGGTTTAGGGTTTAGGGTTTAGGGTTTAGGGTTTAGGGTTTAGGCATGTGTTCAGGTTTGGGGCTTGGGGCTCAGGGATGTTTAGGGTTTGGGGTTTGGGGTTTGGGGATGATTGGGACTTGGTTTGGGGTTTGGGGTTTAGGGACTATCCCTAAACCCTAAACCCTAAACTCTAACCCCTAAACCCTAAATCCTAAACCCTATCAAAATTGGGAGTTAGGGTTTAGGGAACCCTGCAGCCATGTAAGCCCTGCAGCTCGGTCCGTCCTTGACATCGTCTGTGACGATGGCCTTCACAGGGGGGAAGGTGTCGGGTTTAGGGTTTCGGGTTTAGGGTTTAGGGTTTAGGGTTTAGGGTTTAGGGTTTAGGGTTTAGGAACCCATCGGGCGATTTCTAAGGGGACTCGTGGCCTTGAGGATGGGTGTAGCACCAGCTTCCAGAGCTTGCCCGATGACGCCGCCAACGACGCACAGGGCGAAGTTCATGCCATCGTGGACCTAGGGTTTAGGGTTTAGGGTTTGGGGTTTAGGGTTTGGGGTTTGGGGTTTAGGGTTTAGGGTCTAGGGTTTAGGGTCTAGGGTTAGGGTTGGGGACATTGCGTCGCAGGGATGTTACCTGAAGAAGGGCCTTCACAGGCACAGAGATGCTCAGCAGAGCTGTAAACATACAGTGCACAAGCATCTGAGCTGACCTACGTGTTCAAATTGGGGTTTACGAAAATAGGGGCACCCTTTTTGGGGTCCTTATTGTAGGGGGATCCTACTATTTGGGGGTCTCTTTTTAGGGTACCCCTATTTTCGTAAACCCCCAAATCAACCTGCTTGAGTACGATGCATGTACGCGCATCTCTTCACACGCCTGCATCCACAGCTTCTTTGAGGAGTCCAGAAATGGATCTGAAAATAAGAATTACCCATGTGCACTTTTCAAGTCAGCAAGAATCCTTTCGCAAACTTGGGAAGATCTAAGACAGGATGAGGCTCAACGCCCTGCAAGCCTGAACCCTAAATGCGTAAGGCGAGGCGTATCCTGCACCCCGAGCACCCTAAATTCAAAGCTGAGTTTACGAATCCAGAGCCTCAAAGCCATTGTAGCGCAGTAACCATATTATAATAAGGGTACCCTTTTTGGGGTTGGTTACCTTAAAAAGGGAACCTTGAACCAAACAAAGGGCAAAAGGGTACGACCCGACCCGGCTACCAAGAAACATTGACTAATTTAGGGTTTAGGAAGTTTAGGGTTTAGGGATTAGGGTTTAGGGTTGAGGGTTTAGGGAAATTTCCGTGAGTCATAAACAGACTGCTGCTATGGTTACAAGGTATAGTCCTCATTTTAACTTCTACTTGTAAGAGTGCGCACGCGATGGAGAAGCGCCCCAATCCGCAAACCCTAAACCCAACCCTAAACCAAAAAAACCCGAAAAGCCCAAAAAATCCTAAACCCTAAAGCTTAAAACCCTAAACCCTAAACCCCTAAACCCCAAAACACACCGACCCTAAACTCTAAACCCTAACAACCAAAACCCTAAAACAGCTAAACCCCTGACGCCCTAAACCCCGAAACCCTACACTCTAAACCCTAAAATGCAAAACCCTAAAACCCAGACCCCCCAGACCCTCAACCCTAAACCCAGCAGTCCCAAGGAGCTTTTTCGTCGTGGCAGATGAGCCTCAACTGAACTTGGAGGGTTTCGGGTTTAGGGTTTAGGGGTTCAGGATTGTAGGGTTTTTGCGGTTTAGGGTTTAGGATTTGGGGTTTGGGGTTTGGGGGTTAGGGGTTTAGGGTTTAGGGTTTAGGGTTCTAGCAACCAAAAAAAATTATATCAAAAAAAGGTTCCCAGGACCCTAAGGAGCTGGATCTCGGCCACCACCGCGGCGACCCAGGGTTGGAAGAACTGTGAGTCGGCCTGCTGAGCACTTGCTACAGGGTTTTGGGTTTGGGATTTAGGGTTTAGGGCTCAGGGTTTAGGGTTTAGGGTTTCGGGTTTAGAGTTAGGGTTTAACGAAAATTGGTAATTTGGGGTAGCTTGAATTATCCTTCGAGACAAGGTTTTGGAGAATTATCTAGGCTCATGAACGCATCATGCTGAATCTGGGGCTGAAAGCAAAACCCTAAACTGTAAACCCTGAACCCAAGAAAGGGACCCTAAGCCCTAAGCCCTAAACCCTAAACCCTAGAACCCTAAACTTAAACCCTGAACCCAATAAAGGGACTCTTAGACCCCAAGCCGAACGTTAAGGGGCCGGATCCTCCGCAGCCTTGCGGACGTCGTACTTTGACTGTTTACGGTTGCGGGCTTGGGGTTTAGGGTTTAGGGTGTAGGGACCCTAGACCCTAAACCCTGAACCCTAAACCCTAAACAATAAAACCCTCCGAAAACTACCCCCGCCAATTCACCGGAAACGCAAGAATTTCCAGTCTAGCCAAGTAAATCCCAGCAACCCAATAACCAAAAGGGTGCCCCTTTTGGCTCCATACTGGGAGGTTCATGGTACTTTAACACCAATTATAACTGGACTTATAGCCCTACTTATACTTGGGATAACCCCATACGGCCCTTTAGGGGTATTATAAGTAGCATCATAAGCCCAAGTATAAGTAGTAACTAAGCCCCATGAACCGTAGGTTTAAACCCCTGAGATCTGGCCTGGTACATGATGTGCTTCAGACCCAGCTGCGTGAGCTCATCGTACATCTGAGCGGGCTCGTGGAAAAGGCGCACGGTCATGTCCTGAGCCGAAGGGTTTAGGGTTTAGGGTTTAGGGTTTAGGGTTTAGGGTTTCGGGTTTAGGGGTTCTACCTTGGACCCTTAAGGTTGCAGCCCTGAGTTTTGGGGAACCTTTTTAAAGATCCTTAAGGTAGTGTAAGGGCCATGATACGAGTATCTTAAGGGGAACCTTTAAGGGTACAACCTTAGGGGTACGAGAGGGGTACGGGTCTTAATCCCTCGATTCTTACCTTGGGGACGAACCGGACCCTCACAGGATTTAGGGTCCATGTACGTTAACACACCCCAGTGTAACATAGAGTACATGGCCCCAAAACCCTAAAACCCTAAACCTTCCATGGTTCGCTATACCGTATTTAGAAATGCTGTCGGGCGAGCTTCGAGCGTCTTGCTGACAATGAAAGCTAGTCGCATCCAGGATTGGTTGAAATGATGGGACACCTCAGGGCAGCGATCATGGTTTGGGGTTTAGGGTTTGGTGTTTAGGGTTTAGGGTTTAGGGTATGGGGTTTGGGGTTTGGGGTTTAGGGTTAGGAGGCTCATGTTGGTGATTCTCTTCTCCACAGAAACACACCGCCAGGAAAGCATCACTGCAGCTTCGCAGAAACTAGGTCCTTGGGATGTTCACCCTTAGATTAACAGTCCTTCAGAGGGATAGTCGTAGGGGGATACTGTACTCCTAACCCTAAATCCCAAACCTCAAAACCCCTAAACCCTAAACCCTAAACCCTAGGACTGCTAGTATAAGGGGGAACATCCCAACTGGGTCCTCCCTAGTCAATGCTTGCATGACCTCTACACGAAATCACCCGACAGCGTCTGGGCCCCACATGCCTAACCTCTAAACCCTAAGCCCTAAGCCCTAAGGTTTAGGGTTGAGGTCTTATCCAAAAACCCAAAAGCCTAAACCCTAAACCCGCCTGCTCGTGCTCGCGGAAGAGTCGCTCAAAGCTCCGTTTGCCCAGCTTCTGTCGCTGCTCAGTGCTGAGCCCTGAGTTCAAAACCCCCGACGCTTTGATCGAGAAAAAAGGGGTTAGGGTTTAACCCTTTAGGGTTTAGGGTTTAGGGTATGGGGTTTAGGGTCTGTAGGGTTTAGGGTTTAGGGTCTGGGGTTTAGGGTTTAGGGTTTAGGGCTTAGGGAGCTCACCACCCCTGGATGAAGGATTAGGGTTTAGGATGTAAGGGCCTATTGCCGCATAGTTCAGGCATATAGCTGAGTTCATAGTCAGAATCCTTATCTGGCGTAAGGTATAGTTCCTTAATCAAGAGGTACTGGGTTTTCTGGGTACTCCGTAGTTTCTGAGTTTCGGCTTTCGGGTTGTAAGATTTATGGTCCGCACATTTTAATGAGGATAAAACACCTAAACCCCAAACCGTATGAACCCAACAATTGTGTTCAAGTGGCCCCCCAAGGTTCTCTGGCGATCCTTTTGCAACTAAACCCTAAACCCTAAGCCCTAAACCCTAAACCCTAAACCCTACGCCCTAAACCCTAAACCCTACACCCAACCCTTTCCGAAGGAAGCCCGGCAACCGAGACTAGACCCAAGAGTAACCTAGGAACAAAAAGGGTGCCCTTGTTTTCGGTCTAAAGGGGCTTCTAAGGAAACCTAAGCCCTAAAACGGGAATAAGGAAACCTAAGCCCTAAAAAAGGGGTATAAGGAAACCTAAGCCCTAAAAAAGGGTATAAGGAAACCTAAGCCCTAACAACAGGGTATAAGGAAACCTAAGCCCTAAAAAAGGGAGCAAGGGCCTACTCTGGGTCGCATGGGAAAATTCTGGAATTCTACCGTTCACAACTGGCCGGTGTTTTTTCGCAGTTGGCCCTGGCAACTCGTTGGAAAATATTCTTAGACAAGATCCCCTTAAACCCCCACCCCAAGCCCTTTCACCGGAAAAAAAGCAAACAGTCCAAAGGGTCCAACCCTAATCCCAAAACCCATCTTTGGTCTAGTATCCCTAAACCCTAAACCCTAAACCCTAAACCCTAAACCCTAAACCCTAAACCCTAAACCCTAAACCCTAAACCCTAAACCCTAAACCCTACCCTCCCAGCTTTGGTCCCAAGCCCAGCCTGAGACAAAGCTTTGCACTGGCTTGGCATACTTGCCAGGCAGTGGGAGCGATTGCTCCTTGGTAGCCAAGGTACCATAGGGTTTAGGGTTTAGGGTTTAGGGTGTAGGGTTTAGGGTTTAGGGTTTAGGGTTTAGGGTTTAGGGTTTAGGGTTTAGGGTTTAGGGTTTAGGGTTTAGGGATTTCCGCAAAATTGGAGTACCCTTGACGTACCACAATCGTCGGACCCCCTCTCCAATGGTCAGGTACTTTCATGCAGCAAAGCCCTCCTAAAACCCTCCTAGACCCTAAGCCCTAAACCCTGAACCCCAAACCCTAAACCCTAAACCCTTAGTTAAGGTGTTTTTACACCAAAACGGCAAAGGGCACCACTGCACCACCAAGGCTCCAAGCGATCGGCAATGCAAGTCCAGACTGCTATCCTGGGTTCAGGGATTTAGGGTTTAGAGCTAAGGTTTAGGGTTTAGGGTTTAGGGATTAGGAAGTAGGGTTTAGGGTTTAGGTTTCGGGGGTTTAGGTAGGGTTTAGGTTCAGGGTCTAAGGTTTAGTTCATGGTTTAGGGTGGATGTGTTGGAGACTACCGCAAGTGAGCTGCTGCTCTACGTGACAGTTGCCTGCACAGACTGGGACGCGATGGCCTTCGATGGCCCTCAACATATTCCTAAACCCTAAACCCTAAACCCTAAACCCTAAACCCTAAACCCTAAACCCTACATTCTGCGTCCGCGAAGCCAAGCACTCTCGTGCTTGGAGTCCCAGCCATCGGGAAGAAGGGCCCGAGCTGAGGCGAGCAGGCACGTCTGGAAGTCCTGGTTGGGTTTAGGGTTTAGGGTTTAGGGCTTAGGGTTTAGAAGGTTTAGAAGGTTTAGAAGGTTTAGAAGGTTTAGAAGGTTTAGAAGGTTTAGAAGTTTTTAGGGTTTTAGGGTTTTAGGGTTTCTAGCAATCTAGGGTATCTAGCGTAGGGTATCTAGGGTATTAGGATAGTCGGGTACTTGGGTTAAGGGTATAAGGTTCTGGGCTGAGGGTTTAGGGTTGTCTCGCTTGCAACGTGTTGTTCAGACATCACCGCACTTTGGCTGCCAGTATGTGACTCACACTAGCACTAAACCCTAAAGCCTAAACCCCAAACCCTAAATGTGTGCTAACCCTAAACCCTACAACCCCTAAACCCCCAAACGCCAATTCCGGCACCCTGAAACCGCAGACACCGGAAACCGAAACCCTACCTACACCCCTAAACCCCCAAACGACAAACCCGAAACCCTACACCCTCTAACCCCCAAATCCCGTAAACCCCAACACCATAAACCCTAAACTCCTAAACCCCTAAACCCTAAACCCTGAACCCTAAACCCCTAAATCCCCACACCCCAAAACCCCCAAACCCCTAAACCCCTAAAACCTAAACCCTAAACCTCAAAGCCCCTAAAGCCCTAAACTGGCAAGCCTGAGCCACGGTCCTTCAGAAGGATCGGGCCCGATATCTCTCGGAAGATGCGGAGCCTGGATTTAAGGGCTTCTTAAGGACTCTAAGGTCTTGTCTGGCGTTTCAGGGCTTTTAAGGGCTTTAAGGGTGTTGAGGGCGTTAAGGGCTTTTAAGGGCTTTGAAGGGCTTTGAAGGGCTTTTAAGGGCTTTAAGGGCTGTAAAGGGCATCAAGGACTGTAAGAAACCCTAAACCCTAAACCCCCAACCCTAAACCCTAAACACCTTCAAGGGATTTGAGTGCTGAAGGGTCTTAAGGGCTTAGGGGTTTGGGGTTTATGGTGCAGGTGTTCGGGGCTTTTGCGGAAGCTAAAGGCTGAAAAGGTTCGGGGCTTCGGGTTGCAGGGTTTAGGGCTTAGGGTTTGGGGTTAGGATTTCGGCTTTGGGGCTTAGGGTTTAGGGGTCTGGGGACTTAGGGTTTAGGGTTTAGGGCTAGGGTTTAGGGCTTCCATCAGGCGATCCTTGGCAACCCAGACTTGTACTGAACACGCCTCAAAGCCCTAAAGCCTTAAACCCTGAGCACCAAACCCAAAACCCTAAATGCCCCAAACACCCCGAACACCCTAAACCCCAAACCCCAAACCCCGAACCCTAAACCCTCAACCCTAAACCCCCAAACCCCAAAAACCATATTCCTAACTCTGATCCTCTCAATCCCAATAAGGGAAAATGCGAAACAACCCAAGGTCCATAAACCCTAAACCCTAAACCCATAAACCCCAAAAGCCCTCAACCCTCAACCCCCAACCCCCAACCCCCAACCCTCAACCCCCAACCCTCAACCCCCAACCCTCAACCCCCAACCCTCAACCCCCAACCCTCAACCCTCAACCCCCAACCCTCAACCCCCAAGCACGGCTCTCCGTCTAAGGCAGCGAAATGGGCCCTTAATATGGTCCCTGACCTTCTTTGAAGGGTTCTGATGTATGAGCCCTCGGCTTGTCTAGCGTATCTAAGGGGTCCCCGTTTGAGGGCCCATACTAAGGGACCATGTAGCCCTAAACCCTAAACCCTAAACCCTAAATCCTAAACCCTAAACCCTAAACCCTAAGACTCAGTGCGGCTGTGCCGCGCAGCCACGTCGCATGCGCAGTCCAAGCTTCCTGCACGTCCACCACCCGAACAACCCTGTGTTGGGTTTAAGGTTTAGGGTTTAGGGTTTAGGGCTTAGGGCTTAGGGCTTGGGGCTTGGGGCTTGGGGCTTGGGGCTTGGGGCTTGGGGCTTGGGGCTTGGGGCCTAGGGCTTAGGGTTTAGGGCTAGGGTTTAGGGTTTAAGGTTTAGGGTTTAGGGTTTACGTTTAGGGCTTAGGGCTTACTGAGTGTTGCACTAAAGCCCTTTGAACGTAGTTTAACAATAAGTTCCCTTAAAATGGAAAGAAGGGAAATTCAAAATTCGATACCAGAGCACTACCCAGTTTAGGGTTTGGGGTTTATGGTTTAGGGTTTAGGGTTGAGGGTTTAGGCTTTAGGGTAGGAGGTTCATGGGTTTTTATAAGTAGGGTTTGAATTCTGCTAGCTTTGCACATGACCCCTTTTGGAGGTACTTATGACCCTCTGACAACTACCCGTGAACCTCCAAGTACGAAAGCCTACCAACATCGTCTCCCTTGAGCGGTTTACACGAAGGTGGCGTTAATTAACCTTCTATCCCTCTTCTCGCTAAAACTTAGACCAGGTCGCTACTTCATGTTTCAAACTGTTGCTTGCAATGCTGCCCAGCCATTTACAAGTTCAGGATTGGGGGTTTGGCTGGGCCGAGGCTCAAGCCAGTGGGATTTGCTGAAGTTGCGTTGGAATTTGGGGTCCAAGAAAGGGGGGGGGGACTCTTTGGGTGTAGGTCGGGCTGATTGTTGAGACTCTAAACTTTAAACTTAAAGCCCCTAAACCCTAAACTTCCAAAATCGGGCTATACATCCTTCGTCGCCATTGACTGCAGGAGCCAGAAGCGTTTCGAAGAGCTGCAGAAGGATTTTGATGAGAGGCCTGAGATCTTAATGAGCTAAAGTGACCAAAAGACGGGCGCCCTTACAAGGGGTTATATGGGGTCTATTTAGGTGCTACAAGGGTAGATAGGGACCAGCAAAGGCGTATACTGTACTCTCAAAGAATCTGGGATGGGTCTAGACTCAGGATAAGTTCTTGGGGGCCTGACAGCAAAACGAGGAGAATGCAGGCCTCTCCCGACCCTTCAGCATTAGGGACCCTAAACCCGAAACCCGAAACCCCAAAGATGATGGGGCCACTTGGAGAGACCCAGGCGAGTCCAACCCAAACCTCAACCAGAAATGAAGCCTGGACTTGGTCACACCGCAATCTTCTGGCGCCGCTGGTGTAGGGTCTAGGAGAGACTCCTATACTCCTTAGGTAAGGAATCTTCCTTGGACCAATATAAGGAACCCTATTATAACTTAAGGGATGTTCCTTAATAAAGGGCATTGGAGTCCCTGGGTATGCAATGGGCCACAAGCCCCTTGTACGTGCCGTTGAGCGGCAAGTTCGCGTTGATGATGCCCGCGTTCATGGTCACAAGCTCAGAAAAGCCCTCAGTTTAGGCTTAGGCTTTAGGAGTCTCTAGACCCAAGAGCAACCTAGGAACAAGGGTATCCTTGGGAACCGAAACCCTAAAAAGAGAGAATAAGGGCCTGCCCTAAGTCCTAGTTCTTGATTCCCCCCCCCCCCGCCCCCCGCCCGAACCCTAAACCCTACACCCCTAAACCCCCCCCCCCTCCCCCACCCTCTGTCATGTCCGTTGATGTGCTACGGCTGCGGCAGCTCTAAAAAGAGAACCGAAAAAAAATGGGCCTCGGGTTTTGGGTTTAAGGTTTAGGGTTTAGGGGTGTATGGCGGTGATTCCCAATGATGGTCCCTTTCCAAGCTCGGTACCCTCGATATAAGGCTCTGCAATGTCCTGTGGTTTAGGGTTTGGGGTTTCGGGTTTAGGCTGGTTTAGGGTCCATGGACGCGACCAGCCTTCCCTGAAACCCCAAACCCCAAACCCCCAAACCCCAAAACCCCAAAACCCCAAAACCCCAAAACCCCAAAACCGCAAAACCCCAAAACCCTAACTCTCCCCCCAAAAAAAATGCAACACAGAAGAAAGCTACTCTCAGCCCTAGACCCCCAGAAGATGTACCTTATGTAGTCCCTATATACCTAAGTAGCCCCGAAATGAACCCCAAATATCCCCCTAAGGTCCCTTAGAAGGGTCCCTCCTCCTACCCTAAACCCTAAACCCTAAACCCTAAACCCTAAACCCTAAACCCCAAACCCTAAACCCTAAACCCCAAACCCCAAACCCTGAACCCCAAAAGCCCAACAACTGAACTGCGGCGAGCGTCCATGCCACCGAGGGCTTCGCCTGGGTTCCGAAGCGAGCTTTTCTTAGGGGGCGGAGGGGGCTTATATAGGGTTTAGGGTTTAGATTTAGGGTTCAGGGTTTAGGGTTTAGGGTTTAGGGTGTAGATGTACGGTTCAGGGTTTAGGGTTTGGGGTTTGGGGTCTGGGGTTTGGGGTTTGGGGTTTGGGGTTTGGGGTTTGGGGTTTAGGGTTTAGGGTTTGGGAGTTCAAGGAGCATAGAAGCCCTTTTCCTGAGACCTTGCTTGTTCAATGGGGCTTCTATGGAAAACTACGGAACCGGAAGCCCTAAACCTAGGACAATAAAGCAGAACACAACCTAAACCCTAAACCCTAAACCCTAGACCCTAGACCCTAGACCCTAGACCCTAGACCCTAGACCCTAGACCCTAAACCCCCAAACTCTAAACCCAGTTGCCGGACTGCTTCTCGCCCCCATCGACCTTTTCAGCGGAGATCTGGGCGCTGGCGGCGCTGGTCTTGGAGTCCTTGGCCTCGGCTGTTCTGTCCAGGGTTAGGGTTTAGGGTTTAGGGTTTAGGGTTTAGGGTTTAGGGTTTAGGGTTTAGGGTTTAGGGTTTAGGGTTTAGGGTTTAGGGTTTAGGGTTTAGGGTTTAGGATTTAGGGTGTAGGGTTTAGGGTTTAGGGTTTAGGTTTTAGTGTTCATTAGGGTTTGAAGTTTAGGGTCTAAGGTTTAGGGTTTTGTGGGAAGGAAAGGGCCCCGTATTTCCCCCCCCAACAGGCCTTCATAAGCCCACACGAGCCCTTCATAGCCACCAACCAGAAGCGGACGTAGGGCCCTTCCTGACACCCCCTTCCCCTGTTCCTTACGAGCGCCTAGGGCTTCTCCAAGACATCTTCGGGCTCAATCGAACATGCAGGGGAAGTATCCCTAAACCCCAAACCCAAAACTCTAAACCCATATACCCCAATACCTTCAAACCCTAAAACCCTAAAACCCTATATACCCTTGAAACCCTGAAACCGTAAAACCCTTAACCTCCATCGGAGGGGAAGTCTGAAACAGAACCGAGCGGCACTTCTCCACAGGCTGAAGGACTTGCTTTTGCTGGGCGCCACCTGCTTGGCAGGAGTGGGCACTTGGCTGCCGTGGGTGTCCGTCGGCGCACGTTTCCTGAGCTGACGCATGGTTGAGGGTTTAGAGTAGTTTAGGGTTCAGGGTTTAGGTTTAAGGCTTCAACGGTTGAAGGGTTTAAGGGACTAAGGGTTAAAGGGCTCAAGGGTTTAAGGGTTTAAGGGTTTAGGGTTTAGGGCACAAGGCATCCTTGCAAGGCATTCATTTATGACTCCGGCTTGCATGCCAAATGTGCATGAGAATGGGTACTTCCAGAAATCCGGGTTCCCCTGGTATACTCCCGGCCCAAAATCCTATGAACCCTTGAAACCCCATAAACCATACAAAGCCCTAAACCCTAAACCCTAAACCGCAAGGTTTACAGGGCATGTAGAGCTTTGTGAGGTTTTCTGTGGCTTCGAGGCAATCTGGGATCTACAGTATGGGCTCAGGCTCGAAAAGCCCTAAACCTAAACCCCGAAACCCAGACCCCGAAGCCCCGAAACCCTACACCCAACCCTAAACCCTAAACCCTAAACAACCTAAAACCCAAACCGTAAACCGTAAACCCTAAACCCTACACCCTAACCCCTAAATTACGAACCCTACACCCTAAATTACTGAACCCTAAACCCTAAACCCTAAACCCTAAACCCTAAACCCTAAACCCTAAGCCCTAAACCCTAAACCCTAAACCCTAAACCCTAAACCCCGAACCCAAAACCCAAACTTGGACTTTTCCCTGCCATCTGCGTGCGGAGCATCCCCAGGGCCTTCGATCTTGCGGCGATCTGCCTCAGCTTAGGGGTTTGGGGCCTAGGGTTTACCTCAAGGCTCTAGTGTAGTTCCTTCTTGGGTTCGTTATAATTAAGGGATTTTAGTATACTACCCCAAAAAGGTACCGCGTAGGAGCCTTTGGGTAGGGTTCGGGGTTTAGGGTTTCGGGCCTAGGATTTAGGGTTTGGGGTTTGGGGTTTTTGGGTTTAGGGTACGTTTAGGGTTTGGGGGTTAGGGTTTAGGGTCTGGGGTTGAGGGTAGGGAACCGAACCACTCCGCCTCCCCCCCCCCCCCCCCCCCCCCCCCCGCCCCTAAACCCGAAACCCTAAACCCTAAACTCCCAACCTCCTCCAAGCACTGTCTGAAGCAAGGTGCTTCCAATCTTCGGCCACGACTTTGCGGTCATTCTCTTCCGGGAAGTGCACGGAAGACAGCGGCACCTGTGCTAGACTTACCCAACGGACTCTCTGGGCAAGGATTGGGGAACCCTAACCACCTTAAGCCCTTAAGCCCCCTACATAAAATCCCGAAGAACCCTAATGACCTAACCCCCAACCCCTAAAGACCCCAAAAGTCTACACCCCTGAAACTCTCTTAAAGGACATAACGAGGAACCATAGAAGGGACCCTTCATCTTCTTCCCCTATGTAACCCCCACAGATATAGTCCCTATGTACCTAAGTAGCCCGATGGTCCCTTATAAGGCTTAGCAACTGAACCTGTCTTTGAAGCGAAGTTTCACAAAGGGAGCTGATGTCTCGGGTTTTGGGTTTCGGGTTCAGGGTTTAGGGCTTAGGACTCAAGGTTTATGGCCCTCGTGTAGGATGGGGAGGGAAGCGTAAATGGAAACAACGGACGGGGCGTGGTGAGGCAATGTGGGCTTCAATAGCCAAGTCCGTGCTTCCTGCTGCGGAAACCTAAACCCTACTTGGAGGTTCATGGTACTTGCTAACCAAGTATAACTGCACTTATAACCCTACTTATAAATACCCCAAAAGGGCCTTAAAGGGCTTATCCCAATTATAAGTAGGGTTCTAAGCCCAGTCATAAGTGGTTACTAAGTCCCAAGGCACCTGCAAGTATGCGTTCAACCCATAAACCCGTTAACCCTCTGTCGCTGCGCGGCCCTCCCTTCCGACAACGGCACCCTGGCGTTCGGGAATTTAGGGTTTAGGGCTTTTAGGGTTTGGGGGTTTTAGGGTATTCAGGGTTTAGGGTTTAGGGTTTAGGGTTTAGGGTTTGGGGGTTTTAGGGTGTTAGGGCTCAGGGTTTTAGGGCCGAGGGCTACAAGGACTTGTTGTGCTTTTGGGTTTGGGGTCTTAGGGTCTACTCAGAGTTTAGGGTAGAGTGTTGAGGACGTAGGTCTTACATTCAGAGTTCAGGGTTGATGGTTGAGGACTCAGGGCTCATTTAGGGTTTGGGGTTTAGGGTTTAGGGTTCCATATACCCTAAACCCTGAACCGTAAACTCTGAACCGTAGACCGGTAACCCTAAACCCTAAACCCTAACTCCTGGACCCTAAACCCTAAACCCTAAACCCTAAACTCTAAACCCTAACTCCTGGACCCTAAACCCTAAACCCTAAACCCTAAACCCTAAACCCTAAACCCTAAACCCTAAACCCTAAACCCTAAACCCTAAACCCTAGCCGCAGAAGAAGCTGGGAGCCAGCTAGGAGCTTGCTGCCAAGGCACATCGTAGTCCATCATGGCCGGGGCGACAGCAAGCCCCAGCCTTGGCAGCTCAAAGCGGTTTAGGGTTTAGGGTTTAGGGTTTAGGGTTTAGGGTTTAGGGTTTAGAGTTTAGGGTTTAGGGTTTAGGATTTAGGGTTTAGGGTTTAGGGTATTTAGGGTTTAGGGCTTGGGGTTTGGGGTTTAGAAGCCGCCCCCCCCCCGCGCAAAAAAAAAAAACACAAAAACCTATAAGCAACCCACAAAGACCCTTGAAAACCTGAGAAAACCCCAAACCCTGAAAACCCTTTCAAAAAGCAAATCCCAAGCCCTGAAGACCTAGGGTTAACCTTAACCCTAATCCCTGAAGCCGAATTAGAGGGTTGAGTTTTGGGGCTGGGGGTTCCCAGCAAGGTGTCTTGTTTTGTTCGGCTGAGCGCATCCGGGGAACCTGATCCCTGAACAAAGGGTTTCGGGTTTAGGGTTCAGGGTTCAGGGTTTAGGACTTTAAAGGTACCCTAAACCCTAAACCCTATAACCCTAAGCCCTAAAGCCTACAGGGTCTCTAGCATGTGTTGAGCATCTTGGTGAATCGACTCCGGACAGGGTTCTGATGCATGGACCCTGGCATCTCCGCGGCCATCATGCCTGCTCAGCGGGAAGCTGGGGGCGGGGGGTGGGGGGGGGGCTAGGGTAAGGGTTTAGGGTTTAGGGTTTAGGGTTTGGGGTTTGGGGTTTAGGGTTTAGGGTTTAGGGGTAGGGGTGTTAGGTTTTAGGTTTTAGGTTTAGGGTTTAGGGTTGTAGAGTTTAGGGTTTAGGATTTAGGGTTTAGGGGCTATTTCACTCAACCTGCCATCGACTTGGACTCAACCGCTATGCCTCATAAAGATGTCAGATTGTGAGATGCTCTGAATGCTGGTCATACTACAGTTAAGAGGTAGAAGGAGGGATGCTTCTAAGGGAACTTGGGGGTTATCTAGGGGTTCTTTAGGGGCTACTTAGGGTATGTAGGAGCGCTATAAGGTATGTACAGGGGTTATACCCCCTTAACAACAGGACAGGCATACGAAGAAACATACAAGTGCGTCGCCCTGCCTAAGGCCAGTTCGAGTTCGCGGGCTGCAGTGGCGTTAAATCCAGGCAGCGTCTGCAAGCTTTGTAGGCCTGCCATGCAGTCACTAGGTTTAGAGGGTTTAGGGTTTAGGGTTTGGGGTTTGGGGTTTGGGGTTTAAGGTTTAGGGTAGTAAGCCTTGAGAACTTCCCTGATTCGGAGCGTCATGTGCGTTTCGATGGATGCACTTGCTGCCGGGCGACCCTGCGGATTGCCCGCCAGCTGCCCCAAGGCCTCCAGAAGAAGGACATGCCAAAGCAATCTCATGCAGGGTAGTTCCATGGTCCCTAAACCCTATAAACCCTAAACCCTAAACCCTAAACCCTAAACCCTAAAGCCTAAACCCTAAGCCCTAAGCCCTAAGCCCTAAGCCCTAAAGCAAAGCTTCATAGTGTATGGGCCCTTAAATGGACCCCTTGTACACCCCTCATATACCCTGCTAAACCCAAGGGCCCTTACTTCACAACCCCTTACAGAAGGTAAGGGACCGCAGGAAGAGACCATGTACATTGGTAGCTCAGTAACCGTATTAGAATAAGGAATAAGGGCACACTTCTTTATGGCTTGGCTACTGTATATAAGGAGGCTTTGAACCGAAAAAGGAAAAGGGTACCACTGGGCTACCAAGGCAACAACCCTTCAAATTCCACAGCAGATCAATAAGCCGATACACGAGGCCGATGATGGGCAATGGCATTCCAGGCTTTTGTCCTGCTGCCTAAGCCCTGAACCCTAGCACTCAACCCTAAGCCCACCTCTCCCCCAAGGCCTGGAAAGCAGCGGCTTTGTTGCCAGCTTGGAAGGCTGTCGTGAGCTCAAAGAGGGCAGCACGAAGCTGCTTGACGCCTGAAGTTGGTCAAACGGATTCTGCGAGGTTCATCCCAGGAGAAGAAGGGGCTTGTGTTTAGGGTTTCGGGTTTAGGCTTTTAGGATTTAAACCCTAAACCCTAAAGCCACTTGACCGAATACAGGCCGCTTTTGCCGATGAAAGCGGGCTGAACTCGCCCACAAAGCACAACACTGACAGGAGTACTAACAGCTCTGACATCCATGTCGCCAAGGATATCTTGCTACGCCACCAAGTTTCCGATTGATGCTTATGTGGGGGTTGCTCCAAGACATAAGCCTTGCTGAAAAGTCTGCAAGAACGTGATATGAGACGATTAGACAAGTCCTTATAGCTCAGGGTACCAAAAGGGCCCATAAACTTGGATCAACACAGTACAGACATGCAGTACAAACTCGAAAGTTGCAGCATAGCTGTTGTAGTCCCCCTGAATCTTGAACAGCCCTACCCCCCCACCCCCCCTCCCCGCCCTCCCCGCCCAATATCAACCATTCCCACTGTAGGCATTTGTTATCGTCTATGGGGAAGATTTAAGTTTTGGGCAAGGAATACACTAATCCCTTCCCACCAATAAAGCACCTTTCTACAAATAGGGCTATGCTAGAAACCTTCTCATGCAGTGCCCCTTTTAAGGGGGGGTCTTGATATTAGAGGGAATGGGTTGTGTATCCATTCAAAGCGGCCCGGGACTTCGGCAGACAGTTTGATTCCTGGGGGGGAGTGGCGCTGAAAACCCTAAACCCTATGCCCGACACGAAAAACCGTCATAAACCCTAAACCCTAAACCCTGAACCCTGTGCTAAACCCTTACCCCTAGAAACCCTAAACCCTGAACCCTAAACCCTAAACCGACTTCCTTGTGCAAAGGACACCCAAGCTCACCCAAGCTTAAACCCTAAACCCTCAACCCTAAACCCTCAACCCTAAACCCTCAACCCTCAACCCTCAACGCTAAACCCTAAACCCAACTCAGGCATTTTAGGGACTCCCCGTAAACCAGCCGGTAGCCAGCCGAGGGACCAGTGTCGACAGGTTCGCCACCTGCCCGGCGCACCTCCAGCTGCAAGTCATCCAGCTTTCCAAGCTGCCTTTGGTTTGGGGTTTAGGGTTTAGGGTTTAGGGTTTAGGGTTTAGGGTTTAGGGTTTAGGGTTTAGGGTTTAGGGTTTAGGGTTTAGGGTTTAGGGTTTAGGGTTTACGATCCCTTGAACCATTTCAGGAACCCTCCACTGCTTTAAGGAAGTTTTCCTTTATGAACGGGTATTGGAGTCCCGGGGGAGGGCGGATTTTCGGGTTTGTAGGGGTCTTGTTCAGGTTTGGCGTTTGGTGTGTTGTCGCTTTTTGCCTGCACTTGGCTACGCCTCGTGAATTCTGGATCCAAGGCCAAGAACCCGACCATAACCCCACATATCTACGGTGGCAAGGCTTTGCCTATGAAACAAAGATCCTTCACGTAGGACCTTCCAATCAACGCCCCCTACATGAATTCCTTCACCCGCCATCCTCCTCCCCCCGCAAGCTTGCTGAGCATGCTACAGAACCTCCTTGTTCTCTTTTCCGTCCTGCGATGCAGCGTCAAGGAATGAAGTGGGGTAGTCGCCTTTGAGGTCTTAGTTCTTTCGATGCAAAAAAAGATGCTGTGTGCTACGCATGCCTAGTGGGTTAGGGTTAGGGTTTAGTAGGGATATCCGGACCATGGAAAGACTTCATGATATTGCCTTCGTTGACGCTGGAGGCAGCACAGTGTCAAGCCAGGTGAACTTCGCGGATGTCGCGTGGACACACCAAGAATCAAGCATCACAGCATTTTGAACCCCACAAGCGTTTAAAGGGTGCGGGGGTTTAGGCTTTAGGGTTTCGGGTTTAGGGTCGCAAATGTACAACCCCATCCGACACATAAAGCACACATACCTACGCCATGTGCAGCACTGCAACTCTGCCAGCTGTGCCTAAATCCGGAGACCAAGCTAGGGTTTAGGGTTTAGGGTTTAGGGTTTAGGGTTTAGGGTTTAGGGTTTAGGGCTACTCAGAACCAGGGGAGGTCCTTGGCTTTCTTCTGCTTGGCCTCTGACTTGGCCTCGGGAGGCCTGGCCTCCTTGCCTTCCTTTGCCTTCGCCCCATCCTTCAGGGCTTCTAAGGTTTGTGTAGGGTTTAGGGTTTAGGGTTTAGGGTTTAGGGTTTAGGGTTTAGGGTTTAGGGTTTAGGGTTTAGGGTTTGGGGTTTGGGGTTTGGGGTTTGGGGTTTGGGGTTTGGGGTTTGGGGTTCAGGGTTTAGGGTTCAGGGTTTAGGGGTTTGGGGTTTGGGGTTTAGGGTTTGGGGTTCAGGGTTTAGGGTTCAGGGTTTAGGGTTTCTAGGGTGTTTAGGCGGGGTAGATAGGGACCTAAGGCTGACGGGGTTATAGAGCCTTCAGGGTTTAGAGGGTTTCTAAGGTTATAGGGCCTGTGGGGTTAAGGTAGAGGGTTCAGGGGCGAGAGCGCGAGAGACACCGAACTATTGCGCGCCTTCTTTGCGGAGCCAGCTCGCTTGGAGGCACTCGGCTTGACCTCCGCCTTAACCGCTGCCTTGGCAGGACGCTCTTGCGGTTCGTGCGGTCTGACCGCCTGCTGCACCTGCCGGAAGGCAACTGTCAGCCTACATTTCGGGATGTTCCCCTCTATACCAACAGTCCTTAATAGGGATTCTGGTACCCTACATGTGGGGATGTTCCCCTGTTGAAGGGATTAGAGTACCCCCTCTACTACTTGGAGGTTCATGGTACTTGTTAACCAATGATGACTGTACTTGTAGCTGCACTTATAACCATATCAGGGCACTGAAGTTAAGGGGCTTATAAGTACAGTCATTAGAGAGTAGTAGGGGTTGTTAGGGAACTTCGGGTCACGTATGAACCCCCTTTTCCTTAAGAACCCCATAACTTCGTGCCTCGTGGCCACGGGTGACCTCACGCCCTTTCGACTCCTGTCGTGTCTCGAGAGCACGCGCAAGCTTCTGACAAGGAGTGCCGAGTTCGCTGTCCCCTAAACCCTAAACCCTAAACCCTAAACCCTAAACCCTAAACCCTAAACCCTAAACCACGATGAATGATTAAGATCTCACAAGTGAGGAGGCAATTGCTCTGCGGAGGGAGGGGCCTAGCCCAGACCTGGAGTTATGCAAGCCTCGCACAAATAAGCATGCAGGTTCAATTGGGGTTTAGGGGGTTTAGGGTTTACCCCAGATCCTAACCGAATATTCTCCTGCACCCAAACCTCATCCTAGTCATCCCAGGACCTCGAAGTCTCAACCACCCACCCACGCCAACGGAAGAAAAAGGAAGAGAAAAAGACACACTGAAAACCCTAAACCAGAACCGGGGTTTGGGGTTCAGCGTCCAGGGTTCAAACCCTACTGTCACGAAACCCTGAAGCCCAGATCCGCAAAAACTTAAACCTCAAACCCCCCAAGCCCGAAGACCCCTCCACACTCTACAAGCCCTGAGGCCCTTAAACCCCAAAACCTAAAACCTAAAAAGCTAAGCCTAAATCCAAAAACCCTACCCCCAAAACGCCGAAAACCCTAAAACCTAAACCCCAAATCCCAAACTCAACTCTCCCTCTGAGGCTTTTCAAGACAGTTGCATGCGGTGTGCACCATCAGGTCCCAACAGCCCGCCCAAAAACCCCCAAACCCTAAACCCTAAACCCTCAAACCTCAACCCTCAACCCTAAACCCTAAACCCTAAACCAAACAAAACGGCACCTCGTCCGGAGGGCCAGTCTTGTCCGGGCCTTGGGAAGATTGAAGACTGCTCTGGATGTTTAAGGCTTAGGGTTTAGGGTTCGGGTTTTGGGGTTTAGGGTTTAGAGTGACAGCTTAGGGTATTGAAAAGGGTAGTCGTGTGTGCGGCCACTTGTGCCGGAGGCTTCTGAAACTTGTGGCTTTTTCCTAAGTCACACGAAGTCAGTCATCGTAGCCGCCATGTTGCCCGTTTCCACGAGACATCTTCACTACGGCGATGACCATGAAAATGCCACATCTCGGGGTATTGAGCCCTTGCCACCCCAACCCTAAACCCTACATCCTAAACCCTAAACCAAACCCTAAATCTGAAGCAGACCCTCCAACATTCAACCTTAGACCTTGAAATCCTTGAGAGCCCTTGCTAAGAAGGACTCATGTGCTTCGCCCAACACATAAAAACCCTAAACCCTAAGCCCCTTAAGTAAGGAACATGCTTTCTGAAAACCATCAAGGGATCCTGAGTACGGTTTAAGGAACTATCGGTTTTAAGGGCTTGTTTTGTTTTCTTTCACTTTTTGTGGGAGGGGGGGGCTCTCCATCATCACATGGTCATAGAGTACGAGTACATCGCTTCGGCGGGAAGGAGGTGATCCAAGTAATCCTTCGGGTTTAAGGTTTAAAAGTTCAGGGATTAGGGTGTAACCCTCAAGGCCGCAACCCCTCAACCGCAGCCGTACTTAAGGTTGTGGCCGCGAGGATAATTGAGGGGGGTTTGGCTTAGATGACCCTGAAACCTTAAACCCTAAACCATAAACGCCAATCCCTAAATCCGAAACCCTACAGCACAAAGCCCGCATAGCCCTCAACCCTAGGCATGACTTCAAACTGAGTCGCCTTTCGACCGCGGGACCTCGTACGGGAGGTCCTCGCCTAAAGAGATGATCACCATGGAGGTGTCCTAGGCAGAAGT